TTCATTTTCAAGTTATTGTTTGGTGGATATCTAGGCAGCTTCCATAGCCTTGATAATATGAATAGAACATTAGTTAATATTAATAAACTTATATTTCCTAAGCAGGATTTAGACACTACTGGGCTATATCTTCAAAAGTAGTAAAGATGGATTAAATGGTATATCTATTTCTAGGTTTTAAAGAAACTCCACTGTGTTTTCCACAGTGAATGAAACATTCACACCTATCAATATTGTCCAAATGTTCCCCTTTCCCACATTCACAAAGAATTTGTTGTTAGTTGTTTCCTTCATCTTACTAATTCCTTCTAAAGAAAGTTAAAGTTTTAAAAGTAGTTTTAATTTCAATCTATCTAATGGCTAAGTGTGTTTAACTCACTTTAAGATATTTCTTGGCCATTTTTGTCTTTTGATTACCTTCTGTTCAAATACATAAATCATTTTAATTGGTTTACTTTATTACTTGGTTTTATTTGCTTTATATTGCTTCTTTTTATTTTCTGATATTGTAATAAAATTACATAATTTTAGTATTCTATTTTCTTCATCTAAGCACTTCCATATACTCCCCACATCTCCCTTTCAAATTCATAGCTCATTTCTTCACTAATTATTGTGATATGCATGCATGTTTATATATATAAATTCTCAGTCTGCATATTTGTATATATGTTTGCAGAGCTGACAATTTGGTATTGTATAACCTTCCATGGGGAAGACTATTTCTTTCACTCTCAGAATTTCTTTCTTTCTTGTAGTACTTCATATTAGGTTGAGGACTCATTGTCTTTTCATGTTCATTTTAACACATATATTATTGTTTTTCCTTGTTCTCCTCTTGTTTAGGAAGGCACATTAGTGAAAATTTATGACTGTCGTTTTGGACATTGCTAGGAGACACAATCTCATAACAAACTCTCTGATCCTGAGATCATTACAAACTTTCTGTCCCTATTCAAAAATGTTCCTTGCCCTAGGGGAAAGAATGTTTTATAGATATATCCATTGGGACTAGTCTCCCTAAGTTGGCATTTTGATTGATTGTAGTTTTCTGTAATGGTCTCCGTGTTTTGCAAAGAGAAGATACATTGATTAGGACTGAGGACTCGAAGTATCTGTGGTTATAAAGATAACTGTTTAGAATGTAATTATGGATTATGATGTCCTCCATGATCCATGACTTTGCATTTGGTTAGGTTTAAAAGTTCAAATAGAGTTTTTGTTATCACCAAGGTATATATGCCACTACTATATTCTTAGGTAAATTGTGGCATTCAGGATCATTTTTGTGGTTCAAAGGCAAAATAACTGTAGGACACTTGGTTGCTTTCCTCCTTTGGAAAATTTCATGATGTTGTCTGGTAACATTAAAACTAGTACCTAGGAAAGAAATAACTGGGTGAAGAGAAAGCTTAATAAACATTTAGTCTTTGCCAGATACAATATTACAGAGGAAAATACACAGAGCATACAGAGAGCTCAAAAGAAAAACAAACAAACCAATATGATGCTTTCAAAAAACTGGCCTATGATCTGTCTTGAAGGAAGAAAAATAATGATAAGAAATATCTCAAAAATGCTTATTATCTCTAGCAATTTTAGTGTGTGTATTTGTGTGTGTATGATAGATGGTGTGATATCAAACATTTAAATTTATAGATGCTGTCTAGGATTAGAACATGGAGTAGGTGAAAATAAATTAGAAATTAAAATAATTTTAATAACTATAAATATTAAAATGTATGTATTTTTAGAATCTTATGACACTTTCATAAACCAGAACATTTAATTCTGTTCATGGAAGAATCATAATGAAATGATTGCTTATGAGAAATAAAAGACAGTAATTATAAATATTTTCTGCAGAAATATTATCCAATTAAAATTGTAAAAGATACTGAATTAATGATACAATGAGGGTATATAATATGGAACTATATTATCACATGACATGAAATAGCAAATGCTTTCCAAAATATATTTTGAAAGGGATTCATGAGAGAATGATTTGAGCATTAAAATGGATGGGTAATTAAGATTAAATTAGATTGCACATATTAAAATCCATTTTCAACATGGGTAGTTAACTAGGTCATTAATACACTAATCTTAAAATTAGCAGAGGAAATGATTAATTTTAGCTGATCTTTTCTGATATAACTTCATTTTAGAATAACAAAATTGTTTTGATTAAAAACTCTGCATAAGTACAGTAAAAACTTAGAGTCCAGGAGAAAATATTTTCTTTGAAAACTCTAATACAGCAACAGTTCAAGCAAAGCTTACCAAAGAATAAAACTATTTCATAAAACATTTATGAACACCTGAATCGATTTTGCTTATTTTTGCTCGCTAAGATACTCAGTTACCTGTGAAGTGATATAATATACAACAATGTATAAAGCAATCCCACTGTGGTATTTTAGGCAATACATTTGAATTAAAAAAATTAATCCTTTAGAAACAACTTTTAATTCTTTCTCAAATCAATTATTTAATTTACATTATAAAGAATCAAAACATTTCAAGCAAGCTAGAAATAAATCAATATATAAAAGCATACTTTCCAGCCAATGGGAAGTTTGAGGTAAAATAGATGTCAGTTCACAAAAAGAAATTACTTGAAATTTTGTTATGACTGAAGATAATAATTTTGACATGTAATAAAACCATCATCTTCATTATTTTTCAGATACACAATCCAATAGTTGGATTAGGGGGCATTAATATAAAAAGTTTATTAGAAAAATATCAACAAACACTAAATATATTAAGCTAAAATTCTACTGAATGTATAATTAATATGTCTGGGTTTAATGTCTTTGATATTATAAATTTCATAACTAAAAAACTGATAATATTCCTAAGTATACAAAGATAGCCAAAGGCATTGAAGCAGATTTGTGGAGAGAATGGAAGGTCACAATTCACAAGGAACTCTGAAGAAAACAAAGTACAATATTAATGTGAGGAAAGCTTAAAACTTGGAATATACCCAAGTATATATGCCCAAGAAAAGGAGGCAACAGTAAAAACCTGAAGCATAACAAAGAGCAAAAGACAAATTATAACGTAGTAGAATTTAGTCCTCCTTACTTTGTTACTAATCTGTAGCAACGGCATTTGAATACCTTTAAGAAGGGCACAGCTGTCCTCTATTCTTCCCGCCACAAAACTTCCTGCTCCCTCATGTCCTTCTCATCTCTTCTTGTCTCCCCTTCTCATTCACTTAGGTCCCTCTCCCCTAGCAGGAAGGTTTTTTAGGAGGAAGAAAAGAGGAGAGCAAAATAAGAGATACCATGAGAGAGGGAGCCATTATAGGTTTAAAGAGAAATCAGGCACTAGGGAAATGTTCAGAGATTTACAAGGATGACACCACCAAACCATCTAAGCAACAGTGGAGAGGCTACCTTAAATGCCCTCCCCTGATAATGAGATTGATGACTAACTTATAGGCCATCCTACTGCCTTCATCCTGCAGTTTATGGAAGTAGAAGCAGATATTCACAGCTAAACACAGAACTGACCTGGAATCCAGTTGCAGAGAAGGAGGAGTTATAAACAAAGGGGTCAAAACCAGGCTGGTGAAACCCAGAGAAACAGCTGACCTGAATAAGTGGGTGCTCTTGGTCCCCAGACTGATCACTGGGAAACCAGCATGGAACTGATCAAGATCCCATGATTGTGGGCATCAATGAGGAAGCCTCGGAAAACTATGGGGTCTTTTGTAGCAGATCAGTACTTACCCATAGCATAGGAATGGACTTTGGGAGCTCATTTCACATAGAGGGATACTCCCTGAGAATAGACACATGGGGGAGGGCCTAGACCCATCCCAAAGGATATGAAAGACTCTGAAGACTCCCCATGGAAGGCCTCACCCTCCCTGGGGAGCAACAATGGTATGGGATAGGTAGGGTGTTAGTGGGTGGCAGGGGAGGAGGGGAGTGTGACTGAAATGGTATTGCCATGTAAAACAATCTTGTTTCTAATTTAAATTAAAAATGGAGAAAAAACAAGCACATAGCTGATGCATACATTATAAACTCTTAATTTACCTAATGTGCTTAATAAAATCTCAGTGTCATGAAATTAATTCTTTGTTCTGGAAAGCCTCACTTAATAATAAGAGAATACAGAAGTGATTAAGAAGGAGCAGGGCTTAGGATTGGACAGTAAGTGGGACCTCTAACAACGGAGCCAGTGTTTATCCCTGGAACATAAATGGAAATTGGGAGCCCATTCCCTATGGAGGGAAACTATTGAAGCCCAGATATGAGAAGGAGGGCCTGCACCCTCCTGGAAAAGATGTGAAGAACTTTGATGGTCCCCCATGGAGGGTCTCGATACCCCTGGGGAGTGGGTGGGGTTGGATTGGTGAGTTGGTGGGAGCGTGGAATAATGGGAAGGTGAGGGAATGGGGGATTGATATGTAAATAAGAATGCTTCTTAAATAAAAAGAAGGAGCAGAAGACACCAGGCATCCCCACTTGCAGCAGAGAGGGGAAAATGGGAGCCTTCAAAGCTCCAGTAATCCTGAGAGGTAGAGGAAGACCCACAAACCAGCCCAGGCTTCTCCACCAGTGGTGGGGAGGAGAAAACACTGGAGTGCCAGGTGGCACTAATATTGAGCAGAAGACTGACGATCACCGTGGCCATGGAGGAGAAAACAATATCCTGCCTTAAAGACTGAGCAAGAAGAAAAGACCAACAGACACACCTGGGTTGTCCATCATGGGTAAGGAGGGAGAAATAGAAGTACCTGAAGCCTGCACAGTGCCATTAAGACTGAGCAGGAGGGAGAGTAACTAAAGAGACATGGATGGCAGGACACTTAGCTGGCTTTTGAGAACCTGATACCCATGCTGGATTACCTTGGCCAGTCTTGAAGTAATGGGAAGAGCTAGGTCCTATAAATGACTACAAAGTGGAATCAGAGATAGGTTGATAAACAGTAGTTTATTGGAGAAAAATACTCATGCAAGGGAGCCAGTGACCAAGTTTGCACCAGAGCAGGATGGACCCAGAAATGCTTCCCACTCAGCTCAGCCAGATGAAAGAGAGAGCTGTGTGCATGCCTCCCTCCTTTAAAAACCCTTGTTATGTAACTCTGACCACACCCAAGCTGGCATGGTCAGTATGACCTGTGGCCAGCCACAAGCAGGTGTGATCAGCAATACCTCTAAACAGGATTTTCCCCTACAATTCCCCTTTCAGTCTAAAGAGGTTTTAAACTTAACAGTGTATTTTATCTATAATTAGCAATCACAAAGATGAATTACAAGAAGATATAATAATATACTGTATCACATCCTAACTATATCTATTCCAACTAAACCCTTAAGTCATCTGAAAGAGATGTCCATGCTTGAACACCTCCTTCCAAACCCAAACCTAAACTGGAAACTAGCTCTAACTAGGTGTATGTTATCCTTAGTGTCAATGGTGGAGAAACAAGGTATAGTATTCTCCAAATTACTTCCTGCTGAAATGGGATGACAGTACCCTTGTGAGGTCCTGTAGGAAAAAAATGTTAGAGTAGTGAAAGTCTTGAGTGAATTATCTGCAACATATGTATCCAGTCTCTGTTTGGTGGGAGATGTTTCATTGAAGGTCTTGTTTGAAGTCCTTATCCTGATTCAAGTCCTCATGTTGATTGAAGTCAGTACCTGAAGCTCTGGCCAGAGTGTAAGTTCAAAGGCATCCAGTTGGATCCAGTGGACTCAATGAGCTGGGGCCCATTTGCTTTACAGAGAGTTCAAGGATAGCTGTTAGGAAGTTCTTCATAGGCTGTGTGGAACATAAACATTAATATTAGTAGAGAAATTTAAATTTATATGTATGTATACCGGGAAAGGCAACAATAAGGAAAATAATAATTATGAGGGATTTTATACAGCCAGAGAAAGAGCCAAGAATAGAAAATGATGGTCCCCAATTGGTCTCTTATTCTGTATTACATCAATTGGCTTCTTGATATAGTACAGAAATTCTGAATTTTATTTTAATAACATACTTGGATTTAAAGGAGGAGAGACAAACCAAACTCTAAAGCCAGCATTTGTTTAATTGAATTGGGACTAGGAAGTAAAGAGAAATAGATTTTATATAGAGAAATGTTTAGAGTTTACCATATGACAAATACTTTTTGTTTGATGGTTCTTTTTGGATAACTATCCTTACTTCTTTAGGTATCTATCCATTCAGTATTCTTGTATATCCTGGAGATGAGTTTTCTTGTGAAGATAAAAAAAAAACAAAAACAAAAAAACAACAAAAAAAACCTTCCCTTTCCTTTGTGAGGTTTCTATATACTTTTTGAGATATAACTTGGTGGATGACCTGTCATTTCTCCTAATCAAGAGGTTTTTTTCTTTTTCGACTCAAATCTTGATCAACTTTGATGGTATCCAAAGCTTTTCTTTTCCCGTGGAAACAAGGAGGCAAAACCACCTCCCCAATGTAACACATGCTCTGGTTTCCTTACAGAGGTCAATACATCTTTGAAGTATTTAGTTCAGAAGTTTTTTCTGTAGTCCAGTGTCTTTATGTATCTGTGTGTCATTTATCATTAGCATTAGGACAGTTAAGTGCTAATAAAGCATCATGTAACCTATGTTTGGGGGTTTTTGTTCCCCTGCCTTTTTATAGAGCATTTTTTCAGTGTTTGATTAGATCTCTCTACCACTTCTTTTCCTGTGTAATTTTGTGATATACTGGTTATGTACTTTATCTTATAATTGAAAAACTGTTCCAATTTCATGGAGACATATGCAGAAGCATTGCCAGTTTTTACTTGCGCAGGTATACCCATAATGGCCATTACAACTAACAGGTGTGTTATAACAGAATCTGCCATTTCAGAGCTAAAAGCAATAGCCCATTGAAACAGTGAAAATATGTCTATAGTATGATGCACATATTTTAAATTTCCAAATTCTGCAAAGTGAAAGAGATCCACCTATCATACCTCATTTCTCTGAATGCCCTTAGGATTACAGACTGCTGGCAAAGGAACTTGATTATAAAATGAAGAGGTAGAACAGTTTTTCACTGTCTCCTTGGCTTTTTGCCAAGTGATGGAGAAATTGTTTTTTAAACCTTTGCTATTTACATGGGGTTTCTCATGAAATTCTGATGGCTCCAGCATGCTTCCTATTAATAAGCATAAAGATCAATCTCATCTTTGCCTTGCAATAGTGGGCCTCGCAGACCTGTATGGGATTTGATGTCTGTTATATACAAAGGATTGGTCTTGTTCCTGATTGTTTCTTGTAATTATATAAACAATGAAGTTAATTATGTATCATCAGGAATGAATTCAGCAGTCTTGATGTGTAAAACCACTCTGTTGGCATATTGAGGATCAATAACTATATTGAGAGGCTCTGTAAAGTCCATAACAACATATAATTCTGCCTTCTGTACAGAATTCTACTGATTTTGAACTACTTTGCTTATCTCTTGATTTATATCCTGCCTTACCTGATTTGTTTGCATCAGTATAGAAGGTAGGGACTCCAGAAATAGGTGTTTTTCTTACAATACATGAAAGCATCCAGATTGTATTTTATGAATTTATTTCTGTCAGTTTTGTGATAATTTTTGCTAATTGTTCTCAACAAGTTAGAAAAAGCTCTCTGCCAGTATTCACTGTCCATGTATAAGTAGGAAATTTCCTCATTAGTTAAAGGTACTATAATTTCTACTGGATTATTTCCAGTCAGTTGATAAAGTCTTAATTTGCCTTTTAGAATTAAATCAGAAATCTTTTTCTATGTATGTTTTTAGCTTTTCATTCTGTTTATGTGGCAAGAATATCCATTCTAATATAATATCTTCCCTCTGCATGAGAAGCCCTTAGGGGTCTCCTCTGGATAGTAAAATAACTAGAATACAATCTAAATTCAGATACACATGGTCTACATGTGTGTCCAGTATTCTATTTTCCACCTATTGTATTTTTTCCACCTCAGCTGATAATATTCATGTAGTATTTAAGTCCTTGCCCTTTTTTAAGTACTTTAAGTCATGTCCTTCTACTCCAATTATTGTCTATAGTTGAGAAATTTCCCCTCAAAACTTTTGTAGGTCATTCAAAGTTTGATAATGATCTTTTCAACTTTGTTCTTTATGCTGCCTGATTATTTTTTTTAGGATGCAAGTTTCATTTTTAAATTTATTTAATTAATTTAAGTAAATAAAGACAACAAAGTTTTTAAATACCTCCAATGATTACATGACATTTTAGTATGTTCTCAATCTCTTTTGTGGTGCTGGGAATCAAACCACACATATGTGTTTGCCAGTGTATACACACACACACCCTTATTATTATTTAACATTTTCAAGCTCCCAAACATCCTTATTTCTCTAACAGTCTGGGCTGGTAAATTATTTCCATGTTGCCTGATTTTTTAAGTTTTTTTTTTTTTTCCTGAACGTTTCATAGATTCTGCACTTTGTATCTTTTCTGGGGCAATCTGTAATCCCCAATGAGGTGGAATTTCCTCTACTGTCTCAAAAATCCACTCTAATGTTTCCTACTTAGAATCTGACAACAGAAATATCATCCATACAATGATATAATATGGATTGAGAAAATTTCTTTCTCTTTTTTATTATCATAATTATTTTTATTTATTTTTTATTTTTAATTTAAATAGAAACAAGATTGTTTTACATGTCAATACCAGTTCCCACTCCTCCCCTCCTCCCCTGAAAAGACCTGCCAACTAAAACCTTAACTATCACATACACATTCTGCTACCTAGGGAGGGTTGGGCCTTCCATATGGGGTCAACAGAGTCTATCATATTCTTTGATATAGGGCTTTGGCCCACCCCTGTGTGTCTTGCCTCAGGGAGTATCCCTCTATATGGATTGGGCTCCCAAAGTCCAAACCTATGCTACAGATAAGTACTGAACTACTACAGGAGGTCCTGTAGATTTCTGAGGTCTCCTCACTGAAACCCATGTTCCTGGGGTCAGGATCAGTCCCATGCTGGCATCTCAGCTATCAGTCTGGGACCAAGAGATGCCTGTTGTACAAGTCAGCTGTTTCTGTGAGTTTCACCAGCCTGGTCTGGACCCCTTGGCTCATTACTAATCCTTTTCTGCAACTGGATTCCAGTTCAGTTCACTGATTAGTAGTGGGTATCTGCTTCTACTTCCACTAGCTGCTGGATGAAGCCTATAGGATGGCAAATAAGACCGTCATCAATCTCATTATCAGGGGAGAGCATTTAAGGTAGCTTCTCTTCTGTTGTTAGATTGTTAGTTGGTGTCATCTTTGTAGATGTCCAGACATTTCCCTAGTGCCAGATTTCTCTGTAAACCTAAAATGTCTCCCTCTGTTATGGTATCTCCTTTCTTGTTTTCTTCTATTCTTCTCCAGACACAAACTTTTTGCCCTCTCATATCCTCCTCAAACCTCCTCTTCTCACCTACTCATTCCCCTGGCTCCCTTCCCCTCCTTGCTCCCAGTTTGCTCAGGAGATCTTGTTCCTTTCCCCTTCTCCAGGGTCCCATATAGGTCTCTGTTAGAGTCCTCCTTTTTGCCTACTTCTCTGGTATTGTGGATTGTAGGCTCAAATTCTTTCCTTTATGTCTAAAATCCACACATGAGTGAGTACATACACATTTGTCTTTTTTGTGATCGGGTTACCTTGCTCAGGATGGTTTCTTGTAGTTCCATCCAATTGCCAACATATTTTAAGAATCCATCGTTTTTGTTTTGTTTTTTGTTTGTTTGTTTGTTTTTCTGCTGAGTAGTACTCCATTTTCTCTATCCATTCTTCAGTTGAGGGGCATATAGGTTACTTCCAGGTTCTGGCTATTACAAATCATGCTGCTATGAACATCGTTGAACAGATGTCCTTGTTGTATGAATGTGCTTCTTTTGGGTATATGCCTAAGAGTGGAATTGCTGGATCTTGTGGTAGACTGATTTCCATTTTCCCGAGGAGTCCCCATATTGATTTACAAAGTGGCTGTACAAGTTGGCACTCCCACCAGCAGTGGAGGAGAGTCACCCTTTCTCCACATCCTCCCCAGCATAAACTACCATTAGTGTTTTTGACTTTATCCATTTCAATAGGAGTAAGGTGGTATCTCAGAGTTGTTTTGATTTGCAATACCGTGATGGCTAAGGATGTTGAACACTTTCTTATGTGCCTTTCAGTAATTTTAGATTCCTCTATTGAAAATTGTCTATTTAGTTCTGTACCCCACTTTTAATTGCATTTTTTGGTGTTTTAGAGAGTAGCTTTTTGAGATCTTTGTATATTTTGGAGATCAGCTCTCTGTCAGATGTGGGGTTGGTGAATATCTTTTCCTAGTTTGTGGGCTGCCTTTTTGTCTTACTGATTGTATCCTTAGTATTAGAGAAGCTTATCAGTTTCAGGAGGTTCCGTTTATCAATTGTTGATATCAGTGTCTGTGCTAGTGGTGTAATATTCAGGAAGCAGTCTCCTACAGCAATTAATTCAAGGGTATTTCCCATTTTGTCTTCTAATTGGTTCAGTGTGGCTGGATTTCCGTTGAGTTCTTTGATCCATTTGTACTTATGTTTTCTGCATGGACATAGACATGGATCTATCTGCAGTCTTCTACATTCCATCATCCAGTTATGCCAGCACCATTTGTTGAAGATGTTCTCTTTATTCCATCATATAAATTTAGCTTCCTTGTCAAAAATCAGGTGTTCATAGCTGTGTGGATTAATATCAGGGTCTTCAATTCAATTCCATTCATCTAGCTGTCTGTTTTTGTGCCAATACCAAGCTGTT